ATAACAACAACTCATCAGCTTGCTTGTAAGTTGAAGTATACTTTTAGTAGTGCTTGTTAAAGCCAGTGTAAAAGATATACAAGATATTATATGTAGGGTAGATTTACATATTAATGTCTGTGTGTTTTAACAAGTCAATATAAATTATGTATGAATGAATAAGAACCTGTGAATATTATCACTGCAGGCTGCATTTTGTCTTTCACCGCATCCTTCACTCTTTTGCTTTAAAAGGTAGTGACTTGCTGTTCTGATTCATTCTCACTTTAGTGTTATTTCAAGACACAGCTGCTATTTTCATCTAATAAACTCCCCAATGAACCAACTGTATGCTGCTTGCCTGGTGCCTGATGGCAAACAGACACTGGTGAATGTAATGGATCAGCTGTTAAAGAGTCTTAGGTTTATGCACTTTGTGAGACCAAAGCCTGAGCTAAAAGAAATCCTGGACTTACCTGTAGTCAGAAGTCATCATGGGCATGAATGTAATGGTAATTTTGGGCTTACTTTTTACTGACTTTTCTAATAATTATTCCATGTACCAGTAACTGCTTTTTTACTGATTTCTTTGTTCTTCGGAATATATATATATTGCACGGTGTACATCTTCAGTGGCTTAAAAAAAACGGATTGGAACAAGGGTTGGGTGCACCGGTTTTAATTTATTTTGCATTTTCTCTCATGCAAACAGGGTCAAAATACAAGCGAATATATATAATATCAAATACATCTTTAAAAGCCCCAAATTATCATGACATTCATGTCCATGATGAGTGCATGACCACAATGGTATACTTCACACAACCAGAAACATGACTCAAAATAGGTGATATTGTTGCACGGTGTTTGTTAGAAGCATTGTTGTGTTATTTTGCTGTCCCTAAGTTGTTAAATACACCTATTATAGTTACTTTAATTGATCCAAAGGCTGACATTGATTGTTACATCTCTAGTCAGAAACATAATTAAAAAGAAAGGCAGCACAATTCATGATTAAGCAATCATTGCTGCTGTTTGAGGGAAAAAAGACAGAAGAAGCCACCTGCCAACTCTAACCAGCCCCGACCTCAGTAAGAAGTCTTCATCAAACAGGAAAAATAAAGAATACACAATATTTGCTATGGTGTACTGGAATTGCTGATCATTACTGTACTTCTAAAAACAGGAGGGTGAATTCTTTTAAGGGCTTTTTTTAAAAAAAAATTGAGGTTGTTAAAGAAAATACCACAACACTTACCATTGACAGCATTAAATATCTTTGTTTTTAACCGTGTTGTGGTTTCTAACGAGCCTCAGACTGTAAGATCAGATACAAACAAGCCCTGCGGGTGCTTGGCAAGCTGCAGCATTACGTAATATTTTGGCAGTCAATGAATTACTTACATTACACCACTGACGGCTTCCTCAAGGAACTCATCTTCATATCTTTTCGCTGTTCTTTGAAAAGGAAATTGCATATTTATTTTTATGCTTTGCTAGTATGCAAATTTCCCCTTAGTTGCTTTTTGTGGGTGCATGATAAGCCCTGATTTTACATATTTAGATTTAGGGGGATTAAGGGAGGCATGTATATTTTCTCACAGATGGGAAGTCACTATTTCCCACTTAGTGTTAACTTAATTAGAATTAATTTTAGACTTTAAGAGCAGTGTTTTAGCAACCCAGGGAAGTTTCTATTCTATTATCAAACCTGAATTCTAGCATGTTCATAGCTGATGTAATGCGCTTGATTTTAATTAGAGATATAAAGAAAAAGCATTAGAACAGGTTGTGGACCTGTGCTATCATGTATTGATTTGGTGGAATGTTTATAAAAAATAGACACTGTATCAATTTTAAAGAGGTAACGGTCTGATAGATATCTAAAAATCACCAAGAAATTTTAAATCAGAATGCTGTATGTTTGATAGTGAATTAAAAACTGAAACCTCAGTTATTTAAAACGCTCTACAGTGTGACTTTCCTTTATTGTAAAAGTTAATTAATATATATAAATATATGTTAAATATATATAAATATATGGAAAATATTAATATGATTCCATAATATGTATAAAATGAGTTTGGACGCTAAGGCCTATTAAAAGATAAATAAATATTTAAGTTATTATAGAGCACAAGTACTGTATCACAAAAATGACCTTAAAACTTTATCTGTGAAATTTGAATGCCTTTTTGCACCGAGAAGATTTCTGGCACACTGAAATTGTCATTCTTGCTATGAAAGAAACTACTGAAGTTGTTATCTGCTACAGAACAAAGAAGTGTTTGTCAGGCTGAAAATTGAATTACTAATTTCAATGAGAAGGAAGAGATCATTTTCAAAACCCAGTGGGCTGATTAGATAAAGCTGTGTGGTGTCAGTATAGCTAATAAATGATAGATGTCGTGTTATTCTTTTTCCTGGATAAACACTGAAGTAGAAAAAGAAATCCAGTGACACATAAAAAATGTGAGATTTAAAATCATTTTAAGAGCTGAGCGAGCAGCAGCTTTGTTTTGTGTTAGAGGTTGGCCTTATGTGACCTGCACTTTGTGGCGCTTGTTGGTATTAGTGTTGTCTCTTCTTTCCAATTCTGTTGTTAATTCTTGTCATGAATATTACTCACACTAAAACTGTCATCACAAGATAGCAAGGTTGTCTGGATATACTTATTAATTTGTTTGGTAGAACTTGGGAGAAGAAGCTAAAAAAATCCCCAAAACAAATCAACTAAAGTATGGAATTTTGTTTAAACTGTAGTACTCCCTGCTCTTGGAAATTCAGAAACAGTAGTAGGTTAGAGTTTCTCCATTTGACAGCATAAACATGCAGTATCCAGTTTTGGTATACAGAAGAAACACATGCAGTACGACACTAACACAGTCATAAAAGGAGTTGTGCTGCAGCTCTGGCTCTTTTGTCAGGACAGCTGTTTATGTAAACTGAAATACTTTATCTCTCACCACATCCAACCATGATGTGGTCAAGACTACTATCAGTCCATAAGTATGAGTGTTCTTGATGAGTTAAAGAACAAGCCAAGAAAGTGATGAAAAATTTATATCTATTTCACTCCACTGTTTGTCTTAAATGCCCACCAGAAAACATGTTATAATGCCCCTGTGTTATAATGACAGACACTAAAGCATGTTCATACAAAATAACTTATTTACCCCTTCATAACAAACATGCAATGGCTTTCCTTTCATAATTTTACACAATAAAACAGGACCTCTTAAACATGTTTGTGGTGGGCCCTTTTGCGGAATTTTTCATGCTGTTATTTGCTACAGAAAATGGACTACTTTGTGGTTAGTCATCGCATCTAGGAAGTCTGAGTTTGTCATGAAGAGTATTGTGAGGAGGGCCCAAATGCAGGACATAAAGAAACGTGGCATAAGATAATTACTTGACTACCAAAAAAACCCCACCAAACAAAACAAAAACAAAAACATCTTATGCTAAACACAGAGAATAGCTGGGAGGCTGTTATGTTTTGTGTTTCAAATGTTGTGTTATAGGCGAAATATAGATTCTCTGCTGTGGGACTATGTTTTCTGTGCAACCTATTTACCATACCTTACTAAACCAACTGAATTAAACACAAACTAAGTGCAGAAAATATAGTTATGTTGTCATAATTGGTTCTAACCTATTGTTAAGTCTTTTTTACAGTGCTAGAACTGCAGCTACCAGAACACAGAACACTCACCAAGTGTCACGGTCCTGAGTCTGTGACTCAGTGTTTTTCTGTTTGTA